TGACAAAGAAGAATGTTTGAGAGCTTCAGAAAATCAGGGGTCCCATTCGCAGGGGATACGGGGCTTGAGAATCAATTTGTTTCGGGTCCTACAATAAGGTTCCCTACAGCGAAAGAAGCTCCAGTAAAAATGTCGATCAGGGCAAAGTGTCCTTCCGTCGTGCCAGACAGACGAAGTAATGTAGGAAGCCTCACACCATGCATGGTTACTGAAGCAACCGTGATCCAAGCATGCTGCTCTGCAAAAAGCTGTTGAGCATGAAAGCACAACTGAATGTTCTTAAAGGCCTATACGTGAAACTCATAGGGACCCTTAGGGGGGTGGGGGGAGGGGGGTAGGGGGGCCTTAATACCCATAGTAAGGACTCAATAAGCCCTTTTAAAGGAAGTACAGTCCCCTACCCCCCTTCCCCTACCCCCCTAAGCGTCCGTATGATTATACTACTCCAACGCTGGGCATGTTGGTATCCAATTGCAACAACGCCCCCTCAGGCTGTCAATCTCAAAACCTAGACTTCACTATCCCACAAACCCAAGCCCTGAGCCTAAACTGCCGAAACCCAGGAAAGCCCAAATGCAGGGATCGAAGCTAAACACCCTGAGCCGCAACGGAAGGAACCGAAAGCAGTAGTCCCTGCGAGGGATCCTGGTCCATCGCTGCATCGCCACGGTCATCTTTCCCTTTTCTTGGCGACCCGGAAAGGTTTAGGGTTTAAGGTTCAGGGGTTTAGGGGTTTAGGGGTTTGGGTTTAGGGTTGGCTGCCTCAGGATCCCTAGGAAAGGAGAATACTGCAAGATTTGCAGTCTGCTGGCAACAGCAGTTCGACACAGTCGAACACGAGTGTGCGCACTGCTTGCTGCTAGCTAGAGGCTGACTCATGACTCATTCTGTAAACGCATGAGCTCCACATCAGTTCTATCATCCACGCATGGGGATTGCATGAACTTCCCACTGCACACGAAAAGCTTCGGCTTGTCTAAATTGCAAACCAATAGCGTTGGCTTAACGACCATGGTTGGATCAGGTGACTCAACCGAAAAATACTCTAGACTGCTATTTCAAACTAGGTTCTTGTTAGGAAGTTAGTTCAAGTTACCGCAGCAAGGAAATCCCAATACTTTACCTTACGTTGCAGTTTCCTGCCTTTTACCATACCTGAGATGTCGGGCTTGGGCTCAACCACCCCCACCGAAACCTAAACCATAAACCCCTAAACTTTAAACCCCCAAACCCAAAGCCCTAAGCTCGAAACCCTAAACCCCAAAACCCTAAACCCTAAAGTCTAAACCCTGAACCCTAAACTCTAAACTTTAAACCCTAAACCCTAGTCTCTAAGCCCTCAAACTTTAGGGAAAAAGGGAGCCCGGCGGATCAGAAGCGCATAAGAGCATAGAGTAGCAGACACCCCTAATCTGGCGAAGCTCATGGTCCTTGAAGCCAGCACTTCACGCACGGCCCTAAATCCTAAACCCTAAATCATCTAGTCAGCTCGTACAGCGACTGTGATCTTAGTTGTTAAGTTCAGAAGCACCAAAAGTGCACACTTTCAGTTTTATAGTGGGTAATACTATCCCACAAAGTGTACACTTTTTAGTTCTTACAGTGGGTGATATTATCCCAAAAAGTGTAAACTGTTGGTTCTATTGTGGTGGTAATATTATCCCAAAAAGTGTACACGTTTAGTTTAATTTTATAGTGGGTAACATTATCCCAAAAAGTGTACGCTTTTAGTTTTATAGTGGGTAGTATCATGATCCCGAAACGTGTAACGTGTATCCACTCAGCACTAAGCCTTATCTGCCGAAGCTCTTCAGGCACATGGCGCATACGGCTCGACATCTTCGCGAAGTTCGGGGCCCGTTTTCAAGGTGATCACAGCAAGTGATCTTCTTTCCTATAATAGGATGCCCAGTAACGTACAACATAAAGAGGGCCCCGTTTTGGCATCGGGTAACTTTATAAGGAACCTAGGACTACATAAAGGGAATAAGGGTACTACTGGGCATCCTAGTACTTGGAGGTTCAGGGGTAATTATAAGTGGGGTTATAAGGCTCCCACCATGGAGCTATAAGTATGGTTACACTACTTATAACCCTACACCAACCCTACTTATAACCCATGAACCTCCAAGCAGGGTTTAGGGTTCAGGGTTTAGGTTTTGGGCTTTAGGGTTTAAGGGTTTAGGATACTTACCCAAGCCATGATGGTAGTTCCTACTATAGAAGTCATACGTTCAATTCTGTAGGTATTTGTCAAAATTTTGGGCATAGAAGATTATGTTGCGCCTGATCTGGCCCCTAACATCATGTTCCATGTTGAGATTTAGGGTTCAGGGTTTTGGGGGGGTTGAGATCATTGGTTCAGGGTTTACGGCTTTGAGATTGCGGATATAGGCACAGGGTGTGGGGATTTGGGATTGACAGATCTGGCTTATGGGACTAAAATTCGGGTTTAGGGCTTGGAGGTATCAAGGGGTATTCAAATCTAGACGTTTAGCTTCCGCAGTCTGAATATTCCTGCGCGCCACTACAGTCTGATCCGCAGAAAGAAATACTGGCTTAGAGTCCAGTCTCTTGCAGCCTAGGGCAGTCTGGCTTGGAGCGAGTTGTTGCGAACATGTCGGGCACGAGGAATTCAATTCCAAATCAGATATACCCGCATCTGCACGTAGATCACAGGACGTGAGTTGCAGGACCTGCGGCCGCGAACCCTAGTATCCCCACGGTTCTTTTAGGGTTTAGGTAGCAAGAACTGTTGGCAGTTCGACTTCACATGGTCAGATGCATCTTACGAATCATGATGAATTGTGGGAGAAACAACATCGATTCTTAGGCACAGGTGGTCTGTAAAAGGGTTTAACCCAAAACCCTAAACCCCTCAACCCTGTGCTTTTATCTGTCTGTGTATCTGTCCATCTCCCTCCCTCTCTCTCTCTCTCTCTCTCTCTCTCTCTATATATATATATATAGCTATTTCTGATATACCCCAGCCAAACCCAAAGACCAGAATCGCAGGAGAGGGTCAGATCCAGAGTTCATCCCTGACACCCTCGGCCAAGCTTTCCTTCAACCGTTGCCGAAGTCTTTGGGGGGGGTTTTGGGATTTTGGGGGCTTTGGGATTTTTGGGTGTTTTGGGTTGGAGTTTTGGGATTTTGTGGGTTTGGGGTTGGAGTTTTGGGATTGGGGTTTATAGTGAACCCCAGAAAGTTGGAACATAGAATTAGGATGATTCATGCTGGGATTCCTTGTTCTTTACTTTAAGGGCGTGAGGCTAATGATGTTCCAACTTTTTGGCTTCTGTCTGGGGTTTGGGGTTTTGGTGTGCTGGGGGATTGGGGAGTTCGGGGCTGTTAAATTAGGGTCTGGAGTTTAGGATGATCCTGTGACGGCTCGTCGGGTTCTAATGTTGGAAAACATTACCGCGAAGAAATTGTGCTTCAATCAAGGTACAGTGACATATTTGCAGAAGGTCTAGGGCACGAAACCAAAACCTTGTGCAGCCTTGCTACATCCATGGGAATAGAGATGCCAGTATAGAAATGTTGCACGACATGATATGAAGGGTCTGCGTCAGCGCCTGCTATGGTGGCGGAACACGTGCATGAGCATGCCTTGCATGCTTACGTTCACAATGGCTGGCTCGCAGCTTTTGATGACGACTCGATCGCTGTAAAAACTGCTGCATGTTTAAACTATGGCTCGTGCCACAACTGTGTCCTGACGGCATAAGTCTCATTCAGAAGCCAGTAATCCTAAACCCTAAACCCCTAAACCCTAAACCCCATTAAATATTGATTCCAATTCCGTCGTGTTAGCCCCAATCGGACGGCTGCCTGTTCTGTCTTCTGCTGTTGCCTTTACTGCTGATCTAGGTTGGCCCTATAAAGCCTCTGAAAAATATTCGTAAATAGGGTCCTATTAAGCCCAATAAGGGAAAATATAAATATCCCAAAGGCCTACCTAGTGATTGATTACCATACATACCATACACGTTTATGTTGTAACAGACCTGACACTAACCCAAAGGGTCCTAGGTACTGTAATGGGGGCTACTTCCCTTTTCTCCTTTACTGCTGATTGATTACCATACACGTTTATGTTGTAACAGACCTACCAGAGCATTTGAGTTGTGACCGATTCTGCCTGTATTCTGTATTCTCGTATGCCAAACGAGTCTTGCAAGTGACTGTCGTAATCCTGTATGTTGGATGAGGTTTAAGCGCGTGCACTGCTTGCATTCTCAATACCCCTGACACTAGCCCAAAGGGTCCTAGCTACAGTAAAGGGGGGGTACTTCCCCAAATCATAAAGTAATTCCGGTTATAGAAACCCTACATTCTACCATATAAGCACTTTTGGACCCTTCGGGCAAAGCCCGCACATCTCTGGCACAGTGCCGACCTGGTCTGGAAATGCGAGCGCAACGAGCGCAAAGACCTGACAATGTAGAAAGGTTGCCTGGTCAAACAGAATTAAGCATGTTGGAATGATAATTACACGGAGAAAACAACTAAACTAGAACAGATAGTTTTGCCCGGAATCAGGGCTGTCGGCAACAGCAGTAAGTAAGAATGGAAGCAGCAAACACCCGAGTGAAAACAGTGTGATCATCAGTAGTAGTAGCCGTTGTAAGAGTTGCCTGCAACTGCAGTACCGCAGCACGAAGTACTAGCTAGTATGGAAACCAAATAGCAGTGGTGACCCTTCTGCCAAAAGCTGCAGATGCGACGAGCACTTGCCACTACTCCTACTACTACTGCTACCACCACCACCACCACCACCACCACCACTACTGCTACTACTGCTACTGCTACTGCTACTGCTCCTGCTCCTGCTACTGCTACTGCTGCTGCTACTGCTACTGCTACTGCTACTGCTACTGCTACTACTGCTACTACTGATCCTCCTACTCCTGCCCCTACTCCTACCCTTACTGCTCTTACTACTCCTGCGGCATCATGGATGAACACGGTTCATGCCGAGGCACCACACATTGCCCTTAACGGGAGGATTCGACGATCTTGGTAAACAACATCGGCTCTTGCTCGACATCCTTCTGGAACCTCAAAGGTCATGCACCCTAAACCCTAAACCTTCAAATGCTGATATTTCCACATTCATCATGTGTCCTTGCATGTCACACTGATGGCATCTTTGGTAACATGTCGTTGGTAGCGACCTCAATTTGGTGCTGAGGGGGTGTGCGGGGGGGTGGGGGAAGGGGGAAATGATGACGTGCAGGACACAGGACATACACCTCAGGGCTTGAGGGTTGATATCTCTGGTAGTAGCCCTACTACGACGACGACCAAGAGGGCCAGCGCATAGGTTTCCAGGTTCGGGGTTTAGGGCTGCTACTGCGGTGGTAGTAGTAATTCTAGTGGCAGCGGTATCGGTAGTGGCAGTGGTCGTTGTGCTGGCAGTGGCAGTGGCAGTGGCCGTGTGGTCGTGGTCGTCGTAATAGTAGGAGCAGCAACATTTAAGATTATTGTCCACTTGTCACTATGCATCACCCCTTGAGCATTCAATCGGCAGAAGCCGGCCCAGAAACGAATAAGGACCAAACTGTAAAGAGAATTCTCGACACCTCGATGAGGCTCAATGCAGCGGTACTCACAACACCGATTCTACGATCAGTACCAGTATGTTGGCATCCTGGACGATTATGATGCAAGCCATGTCATCAACGAAAGCACAGCTGGCTGGGTTGATGCAAGAATGGCCACAATCAGCATAGCACTAAACCCTGAACCCTAAAAAAAACGTAATCTCAATTCTGCTTCCTCTCGCCCCGTGGGCCCTTGCTGCAACACCCCAGCACTCAGCTCCAAACCTCGAACTCCGCACAGGAGCTTTACGATGCAGCAACCCGTCTGATTTGTACCGAGAGCCTTGACCTGTCCAGCTCACAGCTGGTTCAAGAGGATCGGGAAGAGTTGCTGCTGCTGCTATTGCTACGACGACTCCGACGCTGCTGCCACTACTACGACGACTACTCCTACTTACCATCTGCATCTATCAACGTCAACCTTAATCTTCGTAATTGCTGTCATCCTTGTCGTCTTCATGCCGTGAGAACCATCGCCACAACGCCATTCGCTGACACGAATACCATTAGCCCATTGACCCTGAACCGACATCTGGATGCGACGCCAGGGGGCTGATCCAAAATCGTAAGATGTCGATCGTGCAGTCGGCGATCCGGTGGCAATGGCGCACCCTTCCTGAGCCCTTCAGAAGCTGTGTCTCTGCCCGTGTCTGGGAAACTGAAGCAGAGTGGTTTAAGGTTTAGGGTTTAGGGGTTTAGGGTTTAGGGGAGCCTCCCCGCAATTCTGACACTTAGCAAGATGATTCTCGCCGGAGAACTCGTGCAGACACCCTAGCACACAGCTACTCTTAGCTGCTGAGCTCGTAAGCCACCAAAAAGTGTACACTTTCGGTTTTGCAGTGGGCCGTATTATCCCCAAGACGTGTAAAGTGTATCCACTCAGCTACCAAGAGAAGCTCAAGATCTCCCCCAGAAGCCCCAGATCCAAAGCCCCATTCCAGAACCCAGACGGTTGATGATATAAATCCTGCATTACCCATAATAAGGAACATACCGCAAATCCCATAGTTTAGGGTCCTTAAGGTAATGCAGGATTTATATCATCAACAGGAGGCCGTTGACCCGTCCACTTAGGGGTGGTTGTCAAAATTATGATCCCTTTTTGGGGGCTCTTAATATAATAGGGCACCTAGTATTTAGGGTGCCCCAGAAGGGACCGTCATTTTGACAACCTGTCCACTTCTCTGCAAGCAGCACTGCATGACTCGTCTTCCAGTTGCTTGAGTCCCAAGAAGACCTCGGTCCAGGAAAGCATACGCCTCTACGGTGGATGATATAAATCCTGCATTACCTTAAGGGCCCTAAACTATCGGAATTATGGTATATTCCTTATTATGGGTAATGCAGCATTTATATCATCAACAGTAACACCCAAGCCCTGCTAAACACCGAGGAGATTCTAGGCTCTTGAACAGGGTTGGATACTGATTCAATATGCTGTCATCAACTCTGAGATTGGGCAGCAACATGACCGCATGGCAGACATCATGACATGCTTGGGGCTTCTATACTGAACTGGGTTGGCCTTTAAACACCCTGAACATATTTATACATAGGGTCCCTTATAAACCCAAATAAGGAAAATACAAAATGTCCCAAAATCCAACCTAGTGAAACACATTCTCAAGATGTTCGCCTGGGGTTCACGCTTCTGCTCGAGGTGCTTAATCCGGCTTAATCAAATCCCCTGCCGCCGAAGCAAAAAGAAGCAGGTCCTGAGTGGCTCCAAAGACCTAAGCTTAACCGAAATCAGGTACTCCTAAACTAAACCCCTAAACCCCCGAAACCCTAAACCCCTAAACCCTAAACCCCCTAAACCCCGAAACCCCCGAAAGCCCTCAACCTCTATGAAGCTGATATCATGGACACTGAAGATGGTAAGCTTGGCGCCTTCATTTCAGCATCCTAGATTGCATGCATCCGACTACGGGCACCCCAAACCCTGTAATGTGGGGCCTTAATAACTGGAACAGGATTTTGGGTTAATAGGGGGCCTTAATAATTAGAATAGGGTTTTCGGGTATCTTATACTATAATTATAATACGGAACCCTAACAATAATATTGGTAAGTATTTAGGCTTCCATATAGATCATAAGGTACTGAGAGTGACTTAGTTGCTGAGTTCATAAGCCCCCAAAAAAGTACACTTTCAGCTTTATAGTGGGTAATATTATCCCAAAAAGTGTAAAGTGTATCCACTCAGCTACGAAGTAATTGCTGGAAGAGGATTTTGGGTTAATAGGGGCCCTGATAATTAGAACAGGGTTTTCGGGTATCTTATACTCTAATTATGATACGGAACCCTAACAAGAATATTGATAAGTATTTAGGCTTCTATATACTAGTACTGAGAGTGAGGAGTTGTCAGGAGATTTCCTGTTGTAGGGGCGGCGTAACCATAAGAACAGGAAGTCTCGGGCATGCCGTCCTTTCGAAGGCAAGGTCAAGCCGAAGCTCAAAAGATGCTGCACCCCTTACTTTGGAGTTCAGACTTTAGGGCATAGGATTTCGGGTTTTATGGCCAGACATCTAAACTCCACAGGGCCAAGTGTTTTCGGCCCACCTACTGCTTTTGGAAACTAAAGTTGCTTCGGGCTAATCGTTCTGAGGTGCCCTTCAGGTTGTACCCCACCCCACAGCGCGGGCGGAAATCAACCCAAGCTCATACTGTGGATTGCAATTACTGTCACTCATTATACATGTATTCTACACAGTAAGCAGATTTCTCTTGGCGGGAAGCACACTCCAGCCACACGGCGCTAGGAGCCTAAACTAGGACCTTATCATAAGTTATCGGCCATACAATCCATATATAGAGTCCTTGAGTGAACCCATTAGGGATTGGAAACGAAAAACCCTAAACCCGAAACCCTACCCCTAAACCCAAGCACCGAACCCTAGACCCCTAAACCCTAAACAAACCCTAGCCTTAGGGGATCACTTAAAGGATCTCTTAAAAGGAGCCCTTAAACAACCCCTTAAAGAGTTTTGGGCTTAGGGAGGATCTCTTAAAAGGAGCCCCTAAAGAACCCCTTAAAGAGTTTAGGGTTTAGGGAGGATCTCTTAAAAGGAGCCCTTAAAGAACCCATTGAAGGGTACAAGGAGCCAGTTGGGCTTGGCATCCTCGGTCTCGTCTTCCTCTGGAGCGATGAGCGTGCGCTCAGAGCCTCAGGCGGGACGGCGGAGGGCGTAGGGCGTCTTTAACTTAACGGGATCTATATGGTTTTGAAGGGTTCCTTTAAGGGGATCTTTGGGGCTGTTTAGGGAGTTTAGGCTTAGCGGTTTAGGGTTAAGGCTTCAGGGTTTAGGGCTTCAGGATTTAGGGTTTCGGGGTTTAGAGTTTCAGGGTTTCAGGGTTTTGCTGTTTTATTGGAAGGGGAGCTCCTCTTTTCCTCCTGGTCAAGGTGCATGTTACCGTCTAGAAACCTCCCAGCCGATGTCTCCGAACCCTAAACCCTAAACCCATAAACCCTTAAACCCATTACCAGTAACCCTAAACCCTAAACCCTAAACCCATAAACCCTTAAACCCATTACCATTAACCCTAAACCCTAAACCCATAAACCCTTAAACCCATTACCATTAACCCTAAACCCTGAAACCCTCAAAACCCTGACACCCGTGGTGTTCGAGGCTGGCGGCTAGAGACCAGCGGAGACGAGGGAGGGAAGTGGCAGAGGTGATCTCTGGGCCTTGAAGTAACCAGGGAGTAAAACGTATAGACTTTTATTTCAGAATGGTTCCCTTTGAGTAACAGGTCCCCCAAAAAGTATTAAAGCGGTCTGGTTCCCACCCTAAACCCAAAACCCGTACACCCTAAACCCCCACACCCCAAAACCCTAAAACCCTAAACCCTTGTACAAGCTCTAAACCCTGAAACCCTAACAAACCCTAGCACGCTACGGCCTGCTAAACCCTAAACCCTAAACCCCTAAACTCTAAACCCTAAACTGCGAAGAGGCTGCAGGAATCCACAAGGCCGGAAGGCCGTGCCTTCCTCCGCAAGCCATCTTTTAGGAATTAGGGTTTAGGGTAAGGGGCCTTAATAATTAGAATAGGGTTCCCTTACAGGGGGTCCACAGGGGTTACTACAGGGGATCTGTAGGGGATCTTCCATAGTGAGGCTGGGAGTTTAGGGTTTAGCGCTTATAGGGTTTAGACTTTGAGGGTTTAGGAGTTTAGGCGTTTTCAAGTGAGTCGAGTTCAGGGTTTTAGGGTTAAGGGTTTGAGGGTTCAAAGTTTTCGTCGGAGTTAGGATTGGGGGGACTCTTGGGGATGCAGACAGTCTCAAGAAGGTCCCTGAGACGAGAGCCGGAAGTAGGGTTAAGAAGGATCCGCTTTGAGGGGTCTCCCTAATACTACTTGGGAGAGACATACCGACATGCTGGGTACTGTTCGTAGGGTTTGCGGTTTAGGGCCAGCAAAAGGTTTAGGTAGGTTCTTGGGGTCTATGGTTCGGGGGATCATTACATAAACGATTCTTCTCTTAGAGGTCCGACGACATCCTGTTGAGGTTCAGGGATTTCGGGTTTTAGCAGTTCGCAGGCTTTCGGCTTCAAGGTGGGGGAAGGGGCTCTGTCGAATCTCAATGCTAGAAAAGGGACTTTTGCCTGCAAAGCCTCCGGAACCATCCTAGTTGAAGTCTTCTCCGGATCTACGGGTTTGGGGGTTCAGGGTTTAGGGGTTCAGGGGCTTAGGGTTTAGGGGTTTAGGGTTTGTGGGTTCAGGGGTTTAGGGTTTAGGATTTTAGGGGTTCAGGGTTTAGGGGTTGATGGGTTTAGGGTTTTAGGGTTTGGGTTCAGGGTTTAGGGGAAGCCTGACAAAACCACAGGACACCCGGTAATATTGGGGCATCCATAGTTAGATTAGGGTTTTGGGGCCCAGTATGCTGTAATCATAACAAGGAACCCCCAAAAAATGGTATAGGTAACTATTTAGGCCCCTACACCCTAAACCCTGACGGTTTAGGCTTTAGGGTTTAGGGTTTAGGGCCCCTACATTAAGCAAGCCTCCTCTTCACAATCCCAAAGCCATGCCCACGATGCCCACTCTGCGAGTCCTCGGCTCCAGAGTTTCACTCCGGTCTCTCGTGTTCTGGGATGTGCAGTGCATTCCGGGCATAGTAGTAGTAGTAGTAGGAGGAGGAGGAGGAGGAGGAGTACTTGGAGGTTCATGGGTAGTTATTTGTATGGTTACTTTTCTTATAACCACTATAGGGGACTTATAACCCCACTTAAAACTACCCATGAACCTCCAAGTACCTGTCCACAGGAAAAGCGATCTTCTTCCAGAAATGAGTGTTATTCTTTAGGTACTGCCCCCATACAGTAAGAGTCTATAATAGGGCGACTATTAAGGTCCTAATACATCTAAATTATGTTATTCAACTATCACTGAGTGGGGGCCGTACCCTAAACCTTACTTCCGCAAACCCTAAACCCGACATGAGTTTCATTCTCATCACGCACGCTGAGCACTGTCGAACTCAGAAGTGGCCAGCAGCAGTCTTCGCGGTTCTTCCCCGAATATCAAAGGCACCCCCCCCCCCCCTCAAAAAAAAAAAAAAAGACCCCTAACTAACAACCCCCCCCCCCCTTAATGATAATTCGAAAAGCGGTGTATTCTTCGGGCGAGATGGGGTTCTTTCTCTCTCTCGCATTTGTCCTGCTCCTGCTCTGGCTCTTGCTCCTGCGCTCGGTCCTGCTGCGGCTCCTGCTCTCGCTGGTGCTCTTGCTCCTGCCCTTGCTCTTGCCCTAAACCCTTAACCCTAACTTGCTCCTCCTCCTGCTCTTGCTCCTGATCTTACATTTGGACTTTCGCTGGCTTGGCGCTTGCCCCAGCTCCTGCTCTTGCTAATGCGGTTGCTGCTGAACCATACCCAACCCAACCATAGCAAAACTATCATTTTAAATACTCTCTTAGGTGTTATATAAACAAAAATAAAAAAAATAATTCCTAAGCAGACCCTCGTGGACCCTACTTCAGATTTGGTGTTAACAAGGCGGGGGAGGTCAGGAGGCTTTGACGGAAAGTGGCATTACTCGGGGGCGTGTTGAAAGGGCTGAGTATCAAGTACTTCTTATCAGTATTGGAAGTGCTACACTGACTATGCTCCGCATCTAAAACGCAAGATGTTAGGGGGTGAGGGTTGAGATGGGCTGAGTTTAGGGCATGTTGGCAGCTCGAATCCGTGACCCGCAGCTTTGCAAGACGTTGTAAGCTGTGGTACACGTGACGACATGGGACCAAACGACCCAACGACCAAAACCCTAAACCCTAAACCCTAAAACAACTACCCAGAAAAACACGGAGCAAAAACCCTGCAACTGAGGCATGCGCCGCTTCAGAGATGGCCTGCTGCCTCGGTCACAGTTTAGGGCTTCAGGGTTTAGGGGTCTAGGGTTTAGGGTTTAGCATGTCATCCTTTCTGAAACCATAGCCGCAGATTCCATGGCCATTTAGCCCACGAGCCCCAGCCTCTGAACCCAGAATACCCTGCAACACAAACTTGGGGCACTCCGCCTGCCGAAAAAACAGGACTCGGCATAGAAGCCCAAACAAAAACACCCAAACAGATCTTGAGCAGGAAGGGCTGGGACAAAATAACAATACTAGTACTAGCAACAGAAGCAGTAGTAAAACGAATCATAGGAAAATTTGAGTTGTACATGCAAAGGAGAAGAAGCTTCCAAAGACATGACTGATTGTATACATACACCACCTCTACAAGCAGAGGAGTGATAGAATGATAACCGTATACTTAGTTGCTGAGTGCATAAGCCACAAAAAAGTGTAAACTTCTTGTTTTATAGTCGGCAGTATTATCCCAAAAAGTGTAAAGTGTATCCACTCAGCTACTAAGTTAAATCGCATACTCATAATCATACACACTAATTGGGCAAATTAATTGTTGTAGAAATGGGGTGAAAAAAGTAACTGGAACCCTAGCGAAAGACAACAGCATAGCAACACCAAACCAGACATGTTACCGGTAACCGTCTGCACAAGGAGTTCTGGCTTTTTTGCTTGTCTTGTACGCCGCACCTCGGAACCTGACCAACAACCGGCTCCCACCCACGTGCATCCCAGTAATGCGAAGGCTACCCTGCTGTGAGTTTTGGAGATTGCCTACAACATACTACAACTAAAGACGGGGGCCTGCGTACCTTGAGAACAATCACAACACGGATGTCCAAATAAGATGCACACCTGGACCCTATAAAGCCTAAACTCCATAAACCATCTCGCTTCATTACTAGATACAGCAAAAATAAACGTGGCAAACATTACCACTAACGATAATAATACTACAATAAGGCGAGGAATCTAAATATGAACTAAATCCTAAAATAATGTGGAAGGCTCACTTCTGTCCAGTCACTGCGAAGCTGAGACGAGATCGTCAAATGACGGCAGGACTCCAGACCTTGCAGAGGGAGATTGCGATTCCTGAAGCACCCTCTGTGTGCTTGCCCTAGCTTACTTCCCCAATAAGCCACAGAAATGAAGGTTAAACTGTCCGGTTACTAGTGAGCTATAAGAACCCAAAAAGTTTAAAGGTTGGGTATTGATGAAACTAAGCGTATCCAGAAGAACACCGACTCAAGTAACCTGGCTTGTGGCTTTGGCTTCAAAAACGAGCAGTCAAGAGTCTGAAACCCCCGAACCCCGAACCCAACACTGCAAAGCCCTAAACCCTGTACCTTACATTCTAAACCCCCAGATCCACCCAAAACCCTAAACCCTAAATACCCTAAATACCCTTAATAGCCTAAATAACCTAAACCCCCAGATCGACCCTAAACCCCTGCGGTGTGCAAGGAGTTCACGGTCTCTTCAACCCAGCGAGGGATGAAGTTATGCCGTCAGCCGGTGTTGAAGGTTCCTGGTTTAGGGTTTAGGGTTCCTTGTTGTAGTTGTATTATAGAAAAATATTCACCCAAACCCTATTCTAACTATTAAGGCCCCAACATAATGCTGGGGTTAAGGGTTAAAGGCAAAGGGTTAAACAATCCAGCATTTGAGGTTCCACTGTGGCACGGTGTCGCAAATGGTCTCTAGATCTTGGTGCCCGATTCGTTCTGCTCAGATTTCAATTCTGCTGTCCATGTACTAAGGCTTTTGGGCCCAAAGACCATACTTTATAAGGCTTTTGGGCTATTTTGATCCCTAGGGTTAGACATTCCCTACTGACCAAAGGTAAGTAAAACAAGGCCGCCGAGCAGCGGCATCGGGTGCACCTGAGAAGTGCTTGCCTCGGCTACATGAACTTAGCTATAATTAGAATAGGGCTCCTTAAAAAAAACCTTTACATTTAAAAGGGCTTATAAGGGCTACTATAAGGAGTATTATGGTTTTTTTTGCTACAGGGTTTCCTGGGCTTTTTTACTTAGCTGCTGAGTTCACAAGCCCCAAAAAGTGTACACTTTCAGCTGTATAGTTGGTAATATTATCCCAAAAAGTGCAAAGTGTATCCACTCAGCTACTAAGTGAACTGGCTTCGGGGACGACAGTGTGAGCATGCCATCATGGCAATCGGGATGAATAGATAGGGGCCTTATACTAAATAATTACAATAGGCTTCTTGGTGATATTATGCTATCTCCATTATGAGGAACCCCACAATTCTATTCAGATTGTGTAGGCACCTTTCTTCATCACGACTCGGGACTATCACCATGTCCAGGAAGGTCAGATCTACTGTTTGGGTTTTTTTAAGGGCCTATTCTTAGTCTACATAAGAATCTATCTAGGGTTTAGGGGTTACGGTTTAGGGGTTTAGGGGCATGTACAATCGAATAGGGACCACCTTTGCGTATTGTTGCAGACCCTCATGATATAGACACCGGCAACGCTCCGCGAAAATAGTCACGAGTTTGCCCGAAGGTAACCCACAGGGTCCAAAGGACCCAGTAATTGGGTACTGGGGTTTCGGATAGTTGTTATGTGGGTCAGGATGTTGAAGAGTGTATGATTACAAGATACTTGGGCCCTTGGGGTAGTAGTCCTTGAAGCCCGCAGATCACGCAAGGCAATCATCTAGTCAGTTCGTAAAGCGACTGTGATCTTAGTTGCTGAATTCAAAAGCCCCCCAAAAGTGTACACTTTTTATTTTTTATAATGGGTAGTATTATCCCAAAAAGTGTAAAGTGTATCCACTCAGCTACTCGGTGATGACACGGATCGGACATCTCCCACCACCCTTGACCAAGTCAATGATGGTGTACTGCTGGGGGGCTTGGGGGTGACCTAAACCCTATAAACCCTAAACCCTCAACCCCAAAACTCTGAACCCTAAACCCCAAACCCTAAACCCGAAACCACACCCCCGGATAGCGAACCCCGATGGCTCAACCCGCAGCCCCAAACCCCATGCCCTCAACCCCACTCCAAGTCCAAACTCCTAACACTTGAGCCCGAACTCTGCCAATCATAGGGACCCTTAGCCGGCGGAGTAGGGGTGGGAGGGGGGTGGGGGGCCCTAACACCAAAAAGACTTAACAAGGCCTATGTAAGGAAGTATTGTCTCCTACCCCCCCTCCCCCCTACCCTGAGGGTCCCTATGAATAGAGCCTCCCCTGAGCTATGAAGTCCCAGTCCCCGGACCATAAACCACCAGAATCAGGAACTGAGGCGCTCCACACCCCATGATGCAGAGCAGGACCGGGCCGCTCCGTACCAATTTCCCAAAGGGGCTTCGAATCTAAACCCTAAATCCTAAACGCCTCTTGCTTGAGAGAAAATTGGCGGGATCAGGGCACTACGGTTGATGAGATAAATCCTGCATTACCCACAATAAGGAATATACCATAATTGCCGTACTTTAGGGTTAAGGTCATGCAGGATTTATATCATCAACACTAGTCCGGCCCTGACTGGGTTTACTTGGAGGTTCAGGGGTAGTTCGAAGTAGGGTTATACGTAGGGTTCCTGTAAAAAGGGATCTTTATAGGGTTATAGGGCTTAGGGATTGGGGTTTAGGGTAGTTATAAGTACTGGTAGGGTTGTAAGTAGGGTAGCTATACTTACAGACCCTATGAGGGGACTTATAACTGCCCCTGAACCTCCAGGTAGGGTTTAGGAGAGGGTCAGGGGTTTAGGCTTAGTTGCTGAGTTCATAAGCCCCCCCAAAAGGTGTACACTTTCAGTTTATAGTGGGTAATACTATCCAAAAAAGTGTAAAGTGTATCCACTCAGCTACTAGGTAGGGTACAGGAAAGCAGGGTTGAGGGTTTAGGGCTGGGGCCCGGGCTTAGACGGGCTAGGTTGCGAGAAGAAGAAGCAGACCCTTTATCCTACGGTTGATGATATAAATCCAGCATTACCCGTTATAAGGAATGTAACACAATTCCCATAGTTTCGGGTCGTTCAGGTAATGCAGGATTTATATCTTCAACGTACCATCAGACGAGTCCGTATCTAAACCGTTACAGACCCCGTTTGCGAAGCAAGAGAACTTCGTCTATGCAACCTCAGAAACCAGTCATCATGTGAACAAAACACCAACGTCTCGAGGCCCCGTACTCCCTTTCAACAAGATAAATCGTTGAGGGACCCTCAGTATGATCCTGTACTACTCGGTATCGCTGTAACTCGGGCCTCAACCCTACCTTAACCCAGAAAAACCTACATTTTTAAGGACCTATATAAGGAAATCATAATAAGGAACCCTAAAAAGGTAGGTTGTTCAGGGTTAAAGTAGGCCCTAAACCTCTAAACCTGCAAACCCGAAGCCAAGGTTCCGGTTTGGGGGACTACGTCTCTCAGCCGACCATGGCAATGTAAACCTGCAGGCCTTCCCTCCCCGACTCCCCAAAACCCCGAACTGAAAAACCTAGCAAACTTGTTCGGTTTAGGGCAGATCTTCCTTTCTGGTGCAAGGGTTGAGTCTATGACAGAGTCTATGATCTCCTTGGACTTGGGACTTAACATTTTTGTGGTTTCTACTCTTAGGTTTGGGGCTTCGGTGGTTTGCTTCCAGGCTTTTGGCTTCGGGCTTTCATGGCCTGAGCCATTAGAAAAAAGGGTTTTGGTACATAGTAAACTTGGGTTGGGAACCACAACGGAAGAGCATGCACATGTTTAAATTCAAAAACTATTGCCATAGGATCGGCGTGCTGAAGGCGGGAAGCAGACAATAGCGATCCAGACCACATTTCTATGCAAGGGACATGTAAGTTAGTAAAAGGCCATGGAGGAGTAGTGCGACTGCTTGTCAAAGTTCCCAAGCCAACAAGACCCTACATCAATCCACGGCATCACGCGCCTCCGCAACGAGCTGCACGGTCAGCGCCTGCCTGCATAAGCTTGCTTGGGTATATAGTAATGACAAGACTTCCACAGGTTCTCTGCTTATTCAGTCTTTTTAGAGCTTTACGATGCTTTGGCAGCAATCAGACTCTTATTAGTAATCATTTGTCATGAATATGCGTGTCCTAGGCAGGATTGGGCAGACAATGATGTGTTGTATACAAGTACATGTATTAAAGCGAGCAGTATGATGGCAGGAACATACAGACTACTGGCAATACGTATCAGATGTACGAACCAGTAATGTTAGAGTGGTGTTTATAAATCGGGTGACAATTAAAATATTCCCGGGGCCGGAATTTCCGGGCGGAAGAGGAGTTTAAAGGGCGGAGCCCAAATGCCCCAAACAACTTATCATAGATGGGAGGTTACATTTATAAAAGGGGTGACAATTAAAATATTCAGGGCCCCAAATCACCAAAAAAAATAGGATCCAGGTTGAGTTAATAATCAATTGGCAAATGCTCAAACTCAGAGGAAAACCAGCCAGCAGAGTGCAGATCGGCACAGACGACACTGAACTACTAGCTCGCAGAGTGCAGTTCCAGACTGTTTCACTCCACCCCTCGGCAGATCCAATGGCATCCAGAGAGCTGTGAAACAGAAGAATTCAGGCTGCCTTTGGTGGCAGACCCAGCTCCAGACGCAGTTTGTTCAGCAGATACCGCTCCAGCTTCGCAGGATCACAGTCCAAACATCCACTTTGCCAGTGGCATCTGGAACAGACGCCCAGGCCTGTCAGACGGACGTGCTCGATGCGAGATTTGTCCTCTTCAGACAGATCACTGGCGTCAGGCTCCTTGTTCAGAGTGAGGAGCTGCTTGGCCAGATTCCAGAGCTTCAGGCCTGTGGCAGAGGCCTCTGCAGACTTTGCTGCCAGTTTTTCAGAGCGCAGGCGGTTGCTCTTCAGAAGCTTGTCCAGAGACTTCTCCTTGTCCAGAAGCTCTTTTGAGAGCTTGGCCTGCTCTCCAGACAGCTGGATGAGCCAGGCCTTCAGCTCAGACATGAGCTCCAGAACCAGCTTGTGGCGAGAGCCACGAGCACAGGGTCCTTCCAGACAGAGAGGGGACAGGATCCAGAGCATGTTGGCCAGAACCCAGAAGCCGCACTCGTCAGACTTCTGGGTGCCAGAGGAGCTTCTCTCTGGCAGAGTCTCTGCCGGCAGAAGCAGAGACAGAAGCCTGGCAGCGTTCACAGAGCACTCCTCGTGCTTCTCAGAGAGGCTGTCCAGGTACTTCACAGAGAAGTTCTCCGAGAGGTCTTCTCGCTGCAGGACCAGAAGGGTCCAGTGGTTCGGACAGTGCCCCCAGACAGGCACGAACAGCAGCTTGTTCTCAGAACGAAGTCTGTCCAGAGCAGTCTGCAGAAGCTCGGGGCGGTCGTGGTCTTCGGCGAGGAGCTGCCCAGAGAGCTTCGGGTCCACCATGCAGATCTTGTTGTCCAGGAACCAGTTCTCGTCGGAGTCGCTCAGATTGTACCGCAGAAGTTCCCAGCCGTACCGAAGATGCTGGTCCAGAAGCATCTGCGGGTAAGACTTCTTGAACTTGAGCAACTCCAGAGGCTCCGCAGCGAAGAACCCACCAGAAGCCTCCAAAAAGAGGGCTGAGCCACCGCAAGCTCGCAGAACAGTCTGCTTCAGATCCCTCTTCAGGCGCAGATTCTTCCACTTCTTCGGAGTCTTCCACAGTGGATCAACCTCGCAGACCTCCTGGTCAGAGACGATCACGGTGGCACAGGCATCTCCAACACCTCAGCAGACAGCAAAGAACATCTTTGTATTAATTAAATACTGCAGACAGATAAGTGCGATTTAGCGGCCAACCAGAGACAACTTGTTCGTCAAAAGGTTGTGCAGCGTGCACTTGCCAGACTTGCCACAGGTGTGGTCCTCTCGCAGAATCCTGCAGACTCGGCCGTAGAGAGGGCCCTTCGTGGCCTCCTTCAGCTCAGAGGCCTTCTCAGAGACGGGGTCAGCAAGAGCAGGGCCAGGCACCAAAGCAGAGTCGCCGGAGGGCTTCTCGTCCAGAGCCTTGGCCTTCGCCAGAGCCTTGGCAGCGTGGCCCAGGGCCGTCTTTTTCTTCTGCTTCAAAGCGGCCTTCTTCGTCACAGAGCCTTTCTTGTCAGAAGCTCTCGGCACCAGACGTTGCAAAGCTTGCTGTCGGGACATCTGTGTCAGACGATGCCTCATGGCTTCCAGAAGCTTTCCTCGAAGCTTCCGCTTGGCCAGAGCGATCATCTGCTTCACGTCTCGCTTCACAGCTTTCTTCTGCAGAAGCTCAGAGTCCGAAGAGAGCTGCTTGTGCCAGGCTGCCCGTTGCAGGTCCAGAGAAAGCGTGAGGACGCCAGACTCGATGCAGGGGAGCTGCAGGTCCAGTGGCATCTCGTGCACGTTCAGCAGAGCCTCGGAGACCTGGCTTTCCAGAGCCTCGTCCTGTGACTCAGAGTGGTGGTAGCTCCACTCCACCAGATCCGCGACGACCTTGGCGCCGTGCAGAGCAGACCAGTCTGGCTTCACTGGAATGCCAGATGAATCCCTCCAGGAGTAGCGGTCCTGCAACCAGGCTGGCTTCGTCCTCGCAGAACCTCGGCTGGCAACAATGAGAGAACAAACAAAGATTCACTTGAAGCTAAACACGGAAAGGAGAGCAGAGCGGCCCATGGAGGCGCCACAGCAGTCTTCGTCTGTCAGAGGAACCAGAGCCTGCTTGGAGAAGTCGGGTCTGTAGGCAAGCAGACCGTTGCGGCGAAGGCCAGAGACGATCCAGTCCTTCTCGGCTTGTCGCTCAGACATCTTGGTCTGAGCCTGCACCACAGCCCTGGCCATGTCCAGATGGCTCGCTCTCCAGAACTCCTTCTCGCCAGCTGCCAGCAGAGCAGTCTGACCGGCATGCCTGCAGGCACGGGAGGAAAGTCCAAAACATGATTAGGGTTTAGGAGAGTGGAAAGAAAACATCTGGCAAGGGAAGCAGAGCAGGAATAATGGCACTTCCAGCCTCAGGTCGTCCATGGCAGACCTTGCCAGACTCTTGAAAGATCTGGCATAGTCTGTGTCAGTCAGTTGCAGACTTGCAGTCAGCTTCGGTCCAATGACCGTCTGCAGACTCTGCGAGTAGAACAGAGACTCTGCCCCAGACACAGACCAGGCCGCAGCGAAGCAGTCGCGGACGTGGACAGAGGCAGGTGCCAGAGCTGCCAGCTCCTCCTGAGCCCAGGCGAAGATGATGCCATCAACGTTCGCAGAGGGCTGGCTCATCAGAGAGATCTGCCGGAACAGAGAGGGATCCTTGTCGCGAGCTTGCCGCCAGCCTTTCAGCAGATTCCCTGCAGAGGCTCCAGCTT